TGTCATGTCGGGATCAACCTTCGTGTTATTGCGCCCACCATCAGGAGCTCTTCTATACGGTCGTGCTCCAAAAACGTCTGATGATTCCTCTTGCTGTTGTTGGATGAATTCCCAGTGTGTCTGCTATATTTAGATAATCTTGCTCAGGGTCATTGAATGCCCTAATTAACTAACCGCTCCCGGTTCTCTTGAATTATTCGTTGTCTTCGCGGAACAGCAGCCATTCCAAATCAGTAGAGTTGTACTAAAATATCGGTCGTTTTGGTGCCTTTTATAAGATTTGAGATCAATTGTCATGAGATTTCATTTGTCTCAGGCATGACGCGTGAATGGAGATGTCATATCGGGTTATTTATTGTATGTCGTTAACGTGTAATTGACAACCGGTTGAGTTGAGTTCTCTTTTTGCCTAACTAATGTTGTGTATTTACTCAATTGATTGTACTATAACTCCGTTGACACTACAGTTTACGCTTTTAAAAGTGTGTTTTGTCATTCATAGGAAATTAACATTCTTGATTTTCCAATCATGTTGGTGTTAATGAGAACAGTTTTCCTTATATAAACAATTAATATTTATACAGGATTACACCAACTCCTTCCTTTAAACACTTTAAAGATGCCACGCAATTCATGTAGCGAAGCGGTTATGACGTGCACAAGTTATTGAATCAAAATTACGAGGTTTTCATATTTTGCCAATTCAAATTTAGAAAGGAAACATTCTTTTTCGTAGTGTAGTGGTTATCACGTGCGCTTTACACGCGCAAGGTCCCCAGTTCAATTCTGGGCGTAAACATATCGCTTTCTTTCCCTGTTTTAAACACACAATTTGCTATTTTCTTTGTGAGTGTTCTTTGCGTTTTTCTGTAGTGTAGTAGTTATCACGTGCGCCTAACACGCGCAAGGTCCCCAGTTCTATCTTGGGCGGAAACATATTGCTTCTACTTTTCCTTTCAGTTCAATCCTGGGCGGAAACACACTGGATAATCGTTTTGGTTAAATGTTATCGGACAGCAGATTTCAAACTTGAAGATTGCAATTAAAATTAAGAGGAGATTTTTTCAAACTCGCGTATTGAACGCTCAAAACCAATCAGATTGCTGGGGAGTGGAGTCTGGAAGTTGATCGAAGCAATTCCATGTAAACATGGCGGCCGGATTTCAAATAGTATGAGTGTTTCTGTGCCGTTTTCACAACCATAACTCCCGGAAAGTTATGCAAATTGACAGAAAATAAAAAGCATGTGATCATCTAAAAATATGAAACTCCTAGACAAAATGGATTCACTGTTTGCCAAATAATTAAGGACGGTGGAATGTTATACAAGAGTTCGCTATGATTGCAGTTTATAGAAGTTAGGATTGCATGTATGATGATCATTTTACTGTTTTTTAGCTAGGTAACTGCCTGTGATCACAGTGAATAAGATATAATGTAATCCTTTGACATATCAGTGTTAAAAAATTGCAGTTTCGTAGAACTTTTAGTGCCTATAATCTTATTAGTATACCATCTTATTTTACAAACAATTCAATATTGGAATTGCCATTGGAAAAATGTATTACAATCAGCACTTTTGACCGTATATCTTAAATATTAGGCGGAAATGCTGTGTTGTACGTGATTTTCTTTTGCTATAGATGTATTTTATGTAAAAGCCTGCATTAGTTTTAAAATCCAAAAATTAGATGTACCTAAAATAATTGCTGAGGTTTTGCTTGATTTGACATGAACTTAAAACATTAGTCTATTGCTAAAACCTATGTTCAACACTGTTAAATTACCCCAAAACTGTTTCCGATCAAACTAATTCATATTTTGCAATACACCCTGGGTATAGTAGTTTACAAAAAGTATAATTTGATTTAAATTTGGGTTGTAGGTCCATGGTCGTTTTTTTGACATTTTCAAAATCAAGCAATTTTCCAATTATCACAGCACATATTTACCTGACATCTCAGAATAGCTATCTACTTCTTGAGTAGAATTTGAATAGAGATACTTTGAACCATATAGACACCTTCCTTAGTTTATATTACAAAATTCGTAGCAATTAATTTACTGAATAAGCAATTTTTATCTAAAAAATCAATGGGTTTTTATTTAGGTCATTTTTGTCGAAAAGGGACTTTATGTGAACCTTAAGTTTAGCCATTAAAATTCAGTGCAGAATTGTTTCCGATCAAACTAATTTATATTTCATTATAAGCCCCAGTTATTTGTTGTGTGCAAAAATTACAATTTTGTTCAAATTTGGGTGGTAGGTCCGTGGTCGTTTTTTGACATTTTCAAAATCAACCATATGTTGTATATTTACTTTAGGCATTAGTATACCAAATGAAGTGGCACTTGTATTAACAATATTATTGATGTAATTGAAATACCTAGGCAATTATATTTATAAGGGGTTGCTGTGAAAATAATAAAATAGTGGCACAATAACTTTGGTAGTTTGCCATTGTAGTTAAGGCGGCTTTGTTACATTTTTTTTACTTGAAAGAAATGTGCTATGATTATGTATTAAATTACATTTCCTTGTGTTTAACCATAAAAAAAAAACAATGAAAATGTTTCCTAACAAATTTTCTCTGTATTCACCAAGATAAGTATTATAATTTGAAAGTATTCGTAAGTATTTAGACTCCCTCCTAATTATTACAGTATAAGTGAACTACACTATTTATTGCAATTATTGATATAATATTTTAACAACAAAGTCACATTATAATTTACAGCTATATGTACACATATATCCCACTATATGGACAGCTGCATAATTTTGGAATAAATTGTCCCATGATTGTTCCACCAATTGTCCTACATGTCCCATATTATGTACCCACCACACAAGGAATTCATTGTTAAAATAGAGAGGGCAGTTGTTCTTGAAATAGATGAAAATAGTTTGACTTTCTCTTTCTTTCTTGTGTTGTTTCTTGAAATAGATTATTTAGGGTCTTTTTTATTATTGTATCTTAACTTCAAGCTACTACACATAAGTGACATAACCATCCACTATGCGAGTTTAGTAGTTTACTGGTATCTGTCATCTGAAACTATTGTTCTGATTTGTTCATATTTTCCAATATGTGTTGGGGATAGAAATAAATACGTTGACATTTGAGAATTTTATTCTATCACAAGGTAATTCTAAATCACAAAAGTCAAACTTAATCAGTATATTTCAATATGTTTATACTTTAGTGTGTGACTGTGTGTCACTCCTTCGCACTAATAAAAATGTACGCATGGAAAATTATATCATTCAAATACTAAAAAAATTGAACGAATACTCACCTGATGTTTTTCTTTATTTCAAGGAGCTTTTCGCTTTTTGAAATTCTCCAAAAGTTAGTAAAACAGCTGTCTCTCGACACGAAAACTTTACCAAACTTGTAAATTCAAAATGGCTGCGAAGCATATTCTAGCGAAGGCCTAGTTGCTAAGTTTTGAACGATTTTGGGCAAAATACGCGACTATCTAAAAAGTCTCCTCTTAACAGGGGAAATATTCTTTTCCAGGCACGAGAAAGTTTTCGTAGTGTAGTGGTTTTCACGTGCGCTTTACACGTGCAAGGTCCCCAATTCAATCCTGGGCGGAAACATTTCGCTTTCTTTCCCTCTTTTAAAGACACAATTTTGCCATTCTTGTTCTGCTGAATGTTCTTTGCGTGTTTACGTAGCTGCCTCGTACGCAGGCTTTTCTTAAGTTTTTGCTTATTCATATATATATATATCAATTTTACATGATTGTAGCAACTGGGGACGCGGCAGTTTCCGTAGTGTAGCGGTTATCACGTGCGCCTAACACGCGCAAGGTCCCCAGATCAATCCTGGGCGGAAACAATTCGCTTTCTTTCACTCTATTAAACACTAAATTTGCTACTTTTGTTCTTTTGAATGTTTTTTGCACGATATTCGTTTGTGGAACACAAGTTGCCATAAATGCAACAGATTTCAGACTTGAAGATGGCTAATGAAATTACTTCCTAAAAATAAGCCGATAACAAATATACCGGATTCCACCAGTGCTTTGCTTTCAACACTTTTAAGGTGCGATACGATTTCTCTAGTCTAGCGGTTACAAAGTGCTCTTTAGAGGCGCAAGGTAAACAGTTTGACCATGTACAGAAACAACTATGTGCGCTGTGTTTCTTTCGATATATTTTATTTACACCTGTAACCGTTATGACTCGTGGAAATTTCTGAAACGTAAAGAATTTTAAAGCTATTTTACTAAAATTTCCAGCATTCGATATTTTGCCAATTGAAATTAAGAGGGGAATATTCTTTATTAATCACGGGAAAGTTTTCGTAGTATAGTTGTTTTCACGTGCGCTTTACACGTCCAAGGTCCCCAGTTCAATCCTGGGCGGAAACATTTCGCTTTCTTCCATTCTTTTAAAGACACAATTTTGCCATTCTTGTTCTGCTGAATGTTCTTTGCGTGTTTACGTAGCTGCCTCGTCCGCATGCTCTTCTTAAGTTTTTTCTTATTCATATATATATATATATATATATATATATATATATATATATATATATATATATATATATATATATATATATATATATATATATATATATATATCAATTTTACATGATTGTAGCAACTGGGGACGAGGCAGTTTCCGTTGTGTAGCGGTTATCACGTGCGCCTAACACGCGCAAGGTCCCCAGTTCAAACCTGAGTGGAAATTAACTACTTCTACTTTTCCTATTTTAAACAATGGATAATCGTTTGTGGTAAAATGTTATCGCACAGCAGATTTCAGACTTAAAGATAGCTAATGAAAATAGTTTTCCTTAAATAAACAATTAATAAATATACCGGATCACACCAGCTCCTTCCTTTAAACTCTTCAAAGATGCTATGCAATTCGTGTAGTGCAGCGGTAATCACATGCATGCACAAGTTATTAAATTAAAATTTCGAGGTTTTATATTATTTGCCAATGAAAATTTCGAAACAAAACATTATTTTTCAGCCACGCGAAAGTTTCCGTAGTGTAGTGGTTATCACATGCGTTTTACGCGCGCAAGGTCCCCAGTTCACTCCTGGGCGGGAACATTTCGCTTTCGTTCCCTCTATTAAACACTAATTTTTTCTGCTTTGGTTCTTTTCAATGTTTTTGCACGATAATCGTCGCCGTTGTATTCTCGTCAAATTACAGACCATATATTATTAACTATGTAAGCATCAAGAAAAAGAATATCATCTAGTCTATTATCTAATCCAGAGTCCTTGAACGATTTTGATCTTAGTAGCAATCAACACCGACATCGTTAGTATGGTCGCAGTACGCAGGAGGATTATTCCATCCATTATGACTGCAATCCCAGATAAATGATTCTTCACCAGAGCATTGAACATGAGAAAGCAACACCGGACCACTTCTTTCGACATAGTAAGCCAAAGATCTGATCTTCTTTGCTCCGGAGAAACCCAACTGACGACAGGTGACATCACCTTCAGTAATTCCAAAATTATCTGCGCTGATCCACAATGCATCATAACACATTGTGCCCCAGCCCATTTTTGGATGATAGATTTCCAATCTTCCAGATCCATTCATATTGTTACTTGAACCATTCAATCTGATTTTCAGTTCAGAGTTGGCTATAACATAGACAATTACACATGTAAGGAAAGACAACTTTCACTTGATTATCTGTCCTAGTTCGTACGTCTTTTCTCTCGCGTAAATATATACAACAGTAAATAAATAAGTACACTTCTGGGGCCGGTTGTATCAAGCCCGTTTAGCTTAAACGGTGGATAAGTCAAAATTAAATAACTGACACCCTTACAACTCTCTTGAATGAGTCACCTTGAATTCTATGCACTAAATGTGTAGTTGTAAACAGTATCTTTGTAAGAAAGTCAAAAATATTTAGTTCGCTTGTTATATAAAAACGATAAACTTGCTTTCTACAACTTGATACAACGGCTCCGGACTACTAGTTGTTCTTCATGGTTAGTATCCTCACAAGGGTCTTACGCTCCCATTGCTCACAAAACATTTTTGGTTAGGTAAGAACGATACATTTTGTTAGAATTGAACACACGTCACCCGTCTGATATTTTTTGCAAAAGCTTTCCATCGGAATTGGTTGGTAAGTAATAACGCTAGTATTATAGTAATCTTATTGTTACCATTACTTCATTTGGGTTATTCACTGTAAAAGCAATAAATTATCCGGCGTCAGCGACAGAGATGAAAATTCGCCTCGGTTTTGTTTTGTGTTTTTTTGTTGTTTTTTTTTCGTCCTCGCAAGTGGGTAATGGCAAGAAATATACCAGCATTTGAAAAATGTGTATGTGACCGGATTTATCGACGTCCCAGTCTTGTCTCCCAAGAGTTGTGGTGCACAGCTTTGGCTAATTTTCCGATGTGCGATTCCATTTCGCTCGCATGATACGGCAATTCCTCCAAGAGGAACAAATACATCGTTCAGCATGCTGTTCGATTAAGTTTAGATTGAATTGGGGTAAGAATATATTCAATACATGTAGATTCTGTTCCTATTTCAATAATATCGCTGCTATTTCGCCGTTTAACAAGATGATGTGGTCGTGTATGGGCGCGTTGACACGTCGCAGTTTGCACAGGATTGAAAATTTAATATAACTATATAAGCACGAATTCCGAAGGCAAAGTGTAAGACAAGGTGAACGTATCATGCGGTTTATTTACATTTTAGAACAATTGAACTTCTATACTTTCTAAAGCACGATGTGCTTCTGTATTTCGCGATGGAACAACATTTAGGTTCGCAAGGCATCTAAATGAATATGAACTGTATTGTTTATGTTCAGAAGCTTTATATTGAAGACAGGCACTTGCGCGGCACGCCGGAGTTAACGCCAGAATAGGCGTCTTGTTAACAATAAATCCAACCAAATTCGAACATTTTGTTACTTTCCATGCGTTCCCAGGGCCTTTTGGGAATTTTTGGAAAGGGGGGTTGGGGTTGTGGGAAGGAGAAAAGAGAAAAAGCCCTAGGATCGGCCGTTGAAAATACCCACATCTCGTGGGTATTTTGAATAAGTATAATTAAAAGAATCAAGGTGAAATGCCCTGGGAACGAGGTTGTTGGAGTCTTGTTTTCTGCCATTTACGGCACCCTTCGATCGCACAACTATTCATTTGCTTGGTTCGGAATAATTACAAAAAATTCCGTTATTAACACTTAAATGAGGAAAAATCATTTAACCAATACGAAGTCAGAAGGGCTGGTCGATCCCAAGGCCAAAATCAAGGTAAAAAGCCCTGTGAACAAGGTTGCCTGCTACAAGCATAACTAGAGATCAACGTCAGCATTTTTTTCAAGTTGGAAAAGCGTCGGTTTTGAATCAGTTTAGTAAAATAAGTAGCTCCACAATTATTTGCGACAAAATTTTCAGCCTCTGCCGAGCTTGGGAAGGAAAATATAAAATTATTTGCTCTGATAATCTGTTTGCTTATTATACGCTAAAACACGGACAGGGATTCATATTGATGAAATTCACACTGTGAAATTGAACAGATTATTAATTCGTAACGTTGATTTAACAGCAAATTATGCAAGTATAACGGCGAATTTTGATCAGCGCAAGTAAGGTTCAATTATATATTCAAATATCGTGCAAAAGCCCTACAGTTCCAAAAGACAACGTAAACACCACGTAACAACAACAACGCAACTCGGTGCAAAGAGACTGCAAGCTAATGACGCACAATGCCAACCTAAAATGTGTGGCGTGGTTTCTTTTCTCTTCTATTTTCTTAAATTAAAGTTCCTAACTACTAAACGAAACGATTATAGTCCTTAATGCTGATGTAGTAGGTAGACTCGGCGCAGTACATCGGGAACGTGGGATGGTCTTGGAAGTACGGATTCTGGTGGAACTAGAAGATCACCGTCGCTATTATCATCCTCCGGGGGACGGTTATTTGAAGGATGACCGGTCTCATCGATCACGCAGAAGCACTCGTCGACTTTAACATTATAGGAAACTGATCGCAGCTGTGTGTCGCCCAGTGAACTTCTGGATGAAGCACCATGCGTATTCTACTAATACGACTAGATACCGAATGCCAATTATGAGATACCGATACACCAGGTCGCCAACTAGGGTTCCTTGATTTCTTTGACCGTGCACTATAATGTAAACGACGCCGTTGTTTCACGACGTATTAGAATGTTTTGCTTACTTCCCCGAAGAACGTCGCGTAGGAGACGTTAACAACGTTCGGTGGATCGCCGGTGCTATGTTGTTGCAGTGGTGGTGGAAGTTGTCGAAGGGAGGTGCATTTATGGCATGACTCGGAGACGCCCTCAAAAGAGTTTTACACAACTGCCACTGAGCATGGAACTGTCGGTTCATGGAAAGGTGGAGTTGGAGGTGGAGTGGGATGATCAAGTCAAAGGTGGAGGGCTGTAACAAGACCATCGTGAGCATTTCGTGGAACGATCGGTGACGCTTCAGTAGCTATGGATAAGGGGTCCATGTGGGGTACGACTAGGAGGCCGTCTTTAGCGATGGAAGCGACGCCCAGGCACTTTTTTATACCTTTAATGTTGGTAGCTCTCTGTTCAAAATGGCCATGTGTGCGACGAAGATCAGAAAACTCGTTGGGGTTTGTTAGTGGTGTTCATGACCCGAACCTGGCTGGGCACAGCCTGAACAATACGTGGGGTGGGCCAATCACGAACCGTCTTGGCATAGGAGGGCAGGTTTCGATGGCGAGAGTGGCATCGGCTTGAATAACAGATGATAAGTCAAGTTCTATATAGTTTCCTGGAAATACGACTTTGGGCATGCCGGACTTGAGCCTGTGTACGTCTTATACGCTTTTTTATCGTCTGCATGTTATGGCTTTGGCAGCTTGTGAGTAGATTCCTTTAGAAGGTGAACGAGTTTGTTGCGAACGAGATCCTTTGCGTGACCGAGAGGATTCTCTGTCATTCAATTATTACTTGAAAGTTTTACTGAGCATCATCCAACAAACTTTCGTAATCTGAGTTTACTGGGCATGTAAATACATCGATTTTTATTAAAGAACGAACATAATTTACTATTAAAAAAAAGTAACGGGGAATGAAGCTAAACAGTGTTTTGCAGCTTGGTGTTTCTTCAGCACGAAATTATAATTTCAGCATTTTTTGTGTTATAATTTACAAGAGCGTCTAAAAGGAAGTTAATTTAGGTGAACTAATAACTAGTCATGTATAGCTTGACCAAGCTCTGACCAAGCTTTGACCAGGCTTGACTTTCGTGATAACCTCATGAATTTGATCGAGTTTCCAAGACCTTCGCAGATGTCAAAGGACCCGAACATAGTTGATAACTCCAGTTTTTGTGTACCTCGCCAGGATTTCCCGCGTTTAAAACAAGAGGTACATTACAAAATAATTTTGATTTATGCTGTTTTGAAAAAATTAAAGGATATAATCTAAAAGGTCTGTTAAATCGATCCTGGATATTTTTTTCTCTTTGAAGTATTAAAAAACACGAGAATTTTAAAAACATTTCGTCTATAGCTATTACGGTTTTACCCTCAACAAACAAAAGTATTTATTTCAAAGAAAACTTGAGAACATTTTCATGATTCTAAGTAATTTTACATATTATACGATGCGATGAACTAAAATAATTGTATCTCGTTTAAATACTATATTAGTACAACAAACGTTGGTCGGTTTAGAAATTATATCTCGTCTTCCGCAGGAAATACAGTAGTCCCCCGTTACTTGCTTAACTTGAACTACTCGCTAATTTGAACTAAATTCAATTCCCCTTGAATTTGACAGTGTTTTTTATAGTAATTTACTCGCTTAACTGATACTCCTCGCTAATTCGAACACATTTTGTTTTCCCTTGGCCAAATATATCTGGTTAACTGAAACTTTGTTTTCGAATCAAAGATCAGCAAACTTTAAAATGTGAGAAGATAGCATTTTAACAACTGGAAACTATCGAAATAACAGCAAGTTAATCGGTGTATAAATGTATAATTTATTTTTAATTTCAAAATATTTTCTGTAGTGCCACGGTACTATTGAATATAAAAAATATTGTGCTTGTACAGTTTCATAACGTTCCAAATAGAAGAGACATACTTCAGGATTACGGGTATCGGTCGTGTCAATTTTTACGATCTTTAATGCTCCGAAAATAGGCAGTCCGGCAGACATATAGCAATTTATGATCGAATTTTCCCGGCAACGTTTGATAATTTGAGTGTGTTGCGGTTTTGAGCAACCTAGAGTACTGTTGCTTTTTTGAGCAACAGGAAGCAACTTTTAGGATTTTACACGCTCCATACTGCAGATTCCTCGCAAATTATTAAATAAAATTCTGGTTAAAGTAATTCAGATTATTTTTTCTGTGACATTTCGCACCTGGATTGAAAAATATAGGAAGACAAATGAAAGAAGAAATTGCAAGGACAACTACAAATGCTCATCGGGAAGAAGCTTGAATAGTTATTACCAACGAAAAATACGTACCAACACACGCCGTTCCAGTGTAAAAGAAACCTTTCTTACAAACACATTCGTAAGAACCTAGGGTGTTGTTGCACGAGATTGAAAACGCTGGATTACACGGGGATGACAAACATTCATCGTTATCTAAATGGAATGGTTAAAGGAAAATATATTAATAAACACCTGCAGTAAACATAAACATAACCCTAAACAACTTGAGTATTTAAGTAGGAATAATAAATAGTGCCATGCTAAACGTTAACTCACGCACTATACACACCTGTACAAGCCAAGCCCCTGACATTGAAACCACTTTCACAATGACAAGTTTGTGAACCATTGATGATCGAACAGTAGCCGTGAAGACATTGGCATTTTCCTGTAAGTTAAAATTGGTCCGCATGTTATGGTTTCTCTAGTACCTCTATGAAGATAGGAAAATTATCCTATATAAATGGCTAAACATATAAAGAGCCTGTATGGCCGCCTGATATAATTATAAAATATAACCTATTGCCATATAAATGTTGTTATCTGAAATGTCTAAATTCCATATATTTGCGCCTTGGAATTTCCTGGGATTTTCGCGTAATGCATGGTGCACGGCTGAATGTTCAGCATGGTAGAATATTCGTATCTGTCATGCAACAAATAACGATTTAAATACAGATTGATTTGGTTGGCGTGGTTTGGCGCTACAGCTAATGTTAGATCTTGAAGAATTGTCAAGCATCTAGACGTGGGAGTTCCTTTACATATGAAATCTGTGTTGATTTTTCTTTGATTGGTTTCATGATCTAGTCAAATTTGTTGTTGAACAAACAGTTGTTTGTTCGTCTGAAAAACTTTGTGAAATCAGACTACATGAAGCTACGTTCTAAGCACTATAACTACTTTTTCATGCTAGAAATTTAATATAGTTCAAAAACGTTTACACTTGTGTACATTTATTGGTCTCTTCTTAAATATGTTGACATGCGAGGGGTAGTCGAGTGTATCCTTACGTTTTGCGCAAGTTGAATATGCCTGCAACATCCCAAGTGCAATAGCGCGCTATCGTACACGGAAAACCATTTTGTATTTGCTTTACAAGATAACTATACAATCAAACAACGGTCAAATAAGCTATAGTATCTAAACTATAAACAAACGTGCTATACCCTTAAAAATATTTACAGCGTAAATTATTTTCGACTTTGTGCTTTGTGCCTGAGAATTTGCGACTAGCTCGTCAACTTAATCTTATGTAGTTAACTTGTCTATCGTTTACAACCTAAGTATGCTTTGGAATCAGCTCCCAAACGAAGCAAAATCAGCCGAGTCGCTTCGTTTGTTTAAATCAATTGTTGTTGGACACTGAAAGGCATTAGTCCTACTTATTCATATAATCTATCTATGTGTGAAACTGTCGGTAGTATTGTCCTGTTTTGTAGTCATATTAACTAGTTTTTGTTTATTTAAACACGCCCCTCATGGAAACCAGCCTAGAGTTGATGGGGCTAGCGTGTTTCTTGGTTTTAAATAAAGTTTACCTACCTACCTACCCAGTAGCGTAGCCAGCCTGTCGATTTGTCCAGCTATGCTAATATTTTCGTGTTCACTGACTGTGAAAACAATGGATTTCTAAAGACATGAATAATTATAATAACTCGAAATTTACATAGCGGGACAAAATCGTCAGGCTGGCTACGCCACTGTACCTACCTACCTACCTACCTACCTACCTACCTACCTACCTACCTACCTACCTACTTACCTACCTACCTACCTACCTACCTACCTACCTACCTACCTACCTACCTACCTTCCTACCTACCTACCTACCTACCTACCTACCTACCTACCTACCTACCTACCTACCTACCTACCTATCTACCTACCTACCTACCTACCTATTCCTACCTACCTACCTACCTACCTACCTACCTACCTACCTACCTACCTACCTACCTACCTATCTACCTACCTACCTACCTACCTATATACCTATACCTACCTACTACTGTATTGATAGGCATATTTTGGCATTGGATGTTCTATTTTTTTGTGAGATACCATATTGCGGAATTTATTGAGAAACTGTGTGTTTTAATATGTTATAATATTGATAGGGGTTAAACACGAGGAATATTACAGAAAATATTGATAGGGGTTCAAGCGTGATATCCCTGCTGCATTAATAACGCTTCATTTTTAGAGATATGTCATGCTTGTTTTGCTTGAATGAAATTTTATTATTGCATGCATGCATCGCCGCATTTTTTTTTCCTCTTGTATTTTGTATTCATATCTTGCTCACTCTGTTGGAGAAGAAAGAAGTAAATAAAAGTTTGGCTAAATACGTTTCAGAAACAGTGGTTTTTTGTGGCGCAGCTGTGATTGAATACCTACAAAATTGTGTACTATTTTCCCTAATCAACAGGGCAAACAACAACATCGCAAGCCATATCTCGACTGTATCATAACAACTGTATTGTCAAATGCTTTGCCTTAGACAAGGGCCTATGGCCTAGATTCATTAAAGTGATTCTAAATTGTCGGATATCTGTTTATATAAACAAGAGCTAAAATAAATTGAGAGGTTAAAAAAAATAAAAGCTATATATGAAAATGCAAAATGCTGCGCGTGTGAGCAGGGACGGATCTTGGATTGTCAAATGAGTCACACGACTAAGGCAAAAATTGCACAAAGTCCAGGTGGAAATATTTAAACTTCAGCCAGTGGAAAAATTGGCGTCATGTGATAAGTCAACAGTCCAGTCATAAGTGATCAAGCTTCATACGCTTAGTGCAGTCACTGATTTTTGAGCCTTCAGCAAACGAGTCATTATAGCGGTAGTCCGCTTGAATTTTGCTTCATCGACCTCTTATTCCAGGGGTGGATCCAGCACTAGTGCGCTAATTTGCATTACAAAACAAAATGGCTATTTTGAGCAGTTTTCTTGTGTCATGAAAATTAGCTAGTGCACTAGTGCTCTCCACCCTTGTCTGATACTAGGAATTTTTAGAAGGAGTTTCGTTCATCTTTGCGGTGGTCTGACTCATTCGCCAAATTTAAGCTTTCCGATTGGCTGGTGAACGACAAATACTGATTTCTTATTGGTTTGCTTTATTTGACTTGAAGGAAAAATATATCCATTTCAGTATACCTCGTGTGCTCTACTGAGAGAAGGTAAAGTTTCATGTTGATGTTCATGTAAACAATACTCCTATAACTTCATAAAAACTTATATTTCCTATAATTTGCTATGTTAACTGTATATTTGAGTTTGGTTGCGTATTAGCATATACACGCATTCGCCCGTCTTCGTTAAACTGTATGTTTTTGTACAGACAACGTTGTGGGGACCTGTGCAGGTTCCACCTAAACGTTGTGGGGACTTGCTGCATTGTGGGGACCTGAGCCAAGTCCCCACAATGTTTTACCACTATTTTCTCAAAGAATAGACCAAAGAAGCTTCTGCAATGATGTTACTAATACATTAATGCATATATTTTCTTCCAATTTTTAATTTGGAAATAAAAAATAAGAAAATTAGCCAACGTACCAAACGTTGATGTAGAATTTACCGAAGTCCCCACAAAGCAATTACGCAAGTTTAGTACACACGCTGTGTAAAAAATGCACGGAGCATTGTGAGGACTTGTGCAAGAACTTTCACATTGTGGGGACTTACCCCCAGGTCCCCAGAAAGTCATTCCTACGAGTTTTTATCACACTGTAAAATATAAAATGTCACGCCATAGTACCACAGTCTCGATTTTCATTTTTCAGGAATTTTTCGTTAAAATATGTAACAGCTGAATGAAGAAATAGCTAAAATACTTCCGATGAAAAGAATAAAAATGATCCCGCAAAATAATTGTGTAAATTGCAAATCTTTTATTAATAATTTGCCTAAAAAAACGTACATCTTTTAAATTTATTTATAATGTTGGTCTTAAGTTCATGTTTATATCCTATATAAAAAAAAATTTAATATAAAGCCTAGGTCTATTAGACTTGTGTTATTGTATTTTAAGTAGGAAAATGTTGCTACCACTTTTGCTAAGTTCAAAAAAATATTCAGAAAAATATTGTCTGACTCGTTACCGTAAATTTTTAACCATTGCTTTTCCGTGGTTTGGGTTTTGTTTTGGCAATTTACCCCCCGGGACACCCCGTTTTTCTTATACGTACGTATAATATGCACCAAGCTAACCTAGTTCTCTAAAACGTTTGAACTGGGACAAACCTCTGGTTGCTTAGGTCACAAAATACTGATCAGAAGAATAACTCTTTTTTTACTTCTTTTCCGTAAGTATGATTCGTCACTAAGCAAGTACTGTAAAGAGAGGCAATCTGCCAATCGCGTATTACGAAAAAAAGCATGACTTATCTTTCTAACAGGTATTCTGTGCTTAGGTATCATCCCCCTATTATAATAAAAACTATCTACAACGATTGAACTTAAATTTTATACAAGACACGCAACTAGATTAGTTAAATCGTAATATCAGTTGGCTCATCCCGATACAATTGTAATATTATCAATTGTTAAAAATTATGACTATTCAAATGTTTTCATTTTTATGTTTTTTCACTTTCAGTTTGGTTCAAATATTGAACATGCAGATCCATCCCATGAAAGTCGTAACAATAAAAATTTGTAGCCAGCATTTAATATTAACAACATACCACTTGTATTTTTGAAGAAGAACTCCGAATCATGTTGAAATTGGCCAGATCAAATGGTTTTCTTTCTTCTTAAAAACTAAAAAAAATGCACATGCATTATACAAATGTAAAGAGGAAAATTGCATTATTTTGTGATTTAAATTTGATTTGACTTTATAGCTTCCGACACTGTTAAGCTATAACGCTGGCAAAACTAAGAAATATCCCGCTGTTGATATGAAACTGTAAATATGTTATCAAGGGGGGGCCTGGGTATATGTTTAGTCAATATACCAGGAAGAAAGAAATTCAAGGCTCCAATACTTAAGATATAAAAAACATTAAAATGTGATGGCAACTCCTCGGAGTGACTATATGGGGACCTGAGTCCAAGTTCCCACAATGTTAAAATTCTTGCACAATATAGCTACTAAACGTAAATATTTAATTTACCGAAGTCCCCACAAAGCAATTACGCAAGTTTAGAAAACACGCTGTGTAAAAAATGCACGGAGCATTGTGAGGACTTGTGCAAGAACTTTCACATTGTGGGGACTTACTGCACACTCAGGTCCCCATAAAGTCATCCCTACGAGTTTTTATCACAGTGTTAACATAAATGTCTGAGCATATTACCACAGGCTCGATTTTATATTTTTTGGAATATCTCGTTAAAATACGCGAAGTGTGTGACAGGTGAATGAAGGAATAAAATATTTCGGATGAAATGAATGAAAATGATCCCGCAAAATAATTGTGTAACGCAAATCTTTTATTGATAATTTGCCTCCAAAAACTCACGTTTCTTTAAACTTATTTATAATGTTGGTCTTAAGTTCATGCTTATATCCTTGAAGTTTCACCTCGAGGATTACGTTCCTCCCACATGAACAAAAATTTAGTAGAATTTTAGACATCATGTTAGTGCCACTTTGAAAACTAAACATAACATTTCAGTCTTCATAAGCAAAATTTCAGCACACGAAAAATTTTTAACCTCATAATAATAATACAATCTTTACTTTATTTTTTCAAATGGTAGTGTTTTCGGTCATTCAATACAACAGGATAGCGAATGCTGGAACATAGAACCTACGTCTATTTGACTTCCCATCTGATATTGTGTTCTAAGTAGCAAAACTTTGCATGTATTAGAAATGAATCGCGAAACGGGTTTATCACGTTTAACTAGTCATTTTCTCTCTTAATTGTCATGCAACTAGATTAGCCAAATCGTAATATTAGTTGGCTCATCTCGATATATTTGTAATATTATCCATTGTAAAAAATTATGACTAAATAAATATTTTCATTTTCATGTTTTTTCACTTTCGGTTTGGTTCAAACATTGAACATGCAGATCCATTCCATGAAAGTCGTAACAATAAAAATTTGTTGCCAGCATTTAATATTAACAACATACCACTTGTATTTTTGAAGAAGAACTCCGAATCATGTTGAAATTGGCCAGATCAAATGGTTTTCTTTCTTCTTAAAAACTAAAAAAAATGCACATGCATTATACAAATGTAAAGAGGAAAATTGCATTATTTTGTGATTTAAATTTGATGTGACTTTATAGCTTCCGACACTGTTAAGCTATAACGCTGGAAAAACTAAGAAATATCCCGCTGTTGATATGAAACTGTAAATATGTTATCAAGGGGGGACCTGGTTATATGTTTAGTCAATGTACCAAGAAGAAAGAAATTCAAGGCTCCAATACTTAAGATAAAAAAAAACATTAAAATGTGATGGCAACTCGTCGGAGTGACTATATGGGGACCTGAGTCCAAGTTCCCACAATGTTAAAATTCTTGCACAATATAGCTACTAAACGTAAATATTTAATTTACCGAAGTCCCCACAAAGCAATTACGCAAGTTTAGAAAACACGCTGTGTAAAAAATGCACGGAGCATTGTGAGGACTTGTGCAAGAACTTTCACATTGTGGGGACTTACTGCACACTCAGGTCCCCATAAAGTCATCCCTACGAGTTTTTATCACAGTGTTAAGATAAATGTCTAAGCATATTACCACAGGCTCGATTTTATATTTTTTGGAATATCTCGTTAAAATACGCGAAGTGTGTGACAGGTAAATAAAGGAATAAAATATTTCGGATGAAATGAATGAAAATGATCCCGCAAAATAATTGTGTAACGCAAATCTCTTATTGATAATTTGCCTCCAAAAACTCACGTTTCTTTAAACTTATTTATAATGTTGGTCTTAAGTTCATGCTTATATCCTTGAAGTTTCACCTCGAGGATTACGTTCCTCCCACATGAACAAAAATTTAGTAGAATTTTAGACATCATGTTAGTGCCACTTTGAAAACTTAACATAACATTTCAGTCTTCATAAGCAAAATTTCAGCACACGAAAAAATTTAACTTCATAATAATAATACAATCTTTACTTTATTTTTTCAAATGGTAGTGTTTTCGGTCATTCAATACAACAGGATAGCGAATGCTGGAACATAGAACCTACGTCTATTTGACTTCCCATCTGATATTGTGCTCTAAGTAGCAAAACTTTGCATGTATTAGAAATGAATCGCGAAACGGGTTTATCACGTTTAACTAGTCATTTTCTCTCTTAATTGTCATGCAACTAGATTAGCCAAATCGTAATATTAGTTGGCTCATCTCGATATATTTGTAATATTATCCATTGTAAAAAATTATGACTAATTAAATATTTTCATTTTCATGTTTTTTCACTTTCGGTTTGGTTCAAACGTTGAACATGCAGATCCATTCCATGAAAGTCGTAACAATAAAAATTCGTTGCCAGCATTTAATATTAACAACATACCACTTGTATTTTTGAAGAAGAACTCCGAATCATGTTGAAATTGGCCAGATCAAATGGTTTTCTTTCTTCTTAAAAACTAAAAAAATGCACATGCATTATACAAATGTAAAGAGGAAAATTGCATTATTTTGTGATTTAAATTTGATGTGACTTTATAGCTTTCGACACTGTTAAGCTATAACGCTGGCAAAACTAAGAAATATCCCGCTGTTGATATGAAACTGTAAATATGTTATCAAGGGGGGGCCTGGGTATATGTTTAGTCAATATACCAGGAAGAAAGAAATTCAAGGCTCCAATACTTAAGATAAAAAAAAAATTTAAATGTGATGGCAACTCGTCGGAGTGACTATATGGGGACCTGAGTCCAAGTTCCCACAATGTTAAAATTCTTGCACAATATAGCTACTAAACGTAAATATTTAATTTACCGAAGTCCCCACAAAGCAATTACGCAAGTTTAGAAAACACGCTGTGTAAAAAATGCACGGAGCATTGTGAGGACTTGTGCAAGAACTTTCACATTGTGGGGACTTACTGCACACTCAGGTCCCCATAAAGTCATCCCTACGAGTTTTTATCACAGTGTTAAGATAAATGTCTGAGCATATTACCACAGGCTCGATTTTATATTTTTTGGAATATCTCGTTAAAATACGCGAAGTGTGTGACAGGTGAATGAAGGAATAAAATATTTCGGATGAAATGAATGAAAATGATCCCGCAAAATAATTGTGTAACGCAAATCTCTTATTGATAATTTGCCTCCAAAAACTCACGTTTCTTTAAACTTATTTATAATGTTGGTCTTAAGTTCATGCTTATATCCTTGAAGTTTCACCTCGAGGATTACGTTCCTCCCACATGAACAAAAATTTAGTAGAATTTTAGACATCATGTTAGTGCCACTTTGAAAACTAAACATAACATTTCAGTCTTCATAAGCAAAATTTCAGCACACGAAAAAATTTAACTTCATAATAATAATACAATCTTTACTTTATTTTTTCAAATGGTAGTGTTTTCGGTCATTCAATACAACAGGATAGCGAATGCTGGAACATAGAACCTACGTCTATTCGACTTACCATCTGATATTGTGTTCTAAGTAGCAAAACTTTGCATGTATTAGAAATGAATCGCGAAACGGGTTTATCACGTTTAACTAGTCATTTTCTCTCTTAATTGTCATGCAACTAGATTAGCCAAATCGTAATATTAGTTGGCTCATCTCGATATATTTGTAATATTATCCATTGTAAAAAATTATGATTAATTAAATATTTTCATTTTCATGTTTTTTCACTTTCGGTTTGGTTCAAACATTGAACATGCAGATCCATTTTATGAAAGTCGTAACAATAAAAATTTATTGCCAGCATTTAATATTAACAACATACCACTTGTATTTTTGAAGAAGAATTCCGAATCATGTTGAAATTGGCCAGATCAAATGGTTTTCTTTCTTCTTAAAAACTAAAAAAATGCACATGCATTATACAAATGTAAAGAGGAAAATTGCATTATTTTGTGATTTAAATTTGATGTGACTTTATACCTTCCGACACTGTTAAGCTATAACGCTAGCAAAACTAAGAAATATCCCGCTGTTGATATGAAACTGTAAATATGTTATCAAGGGGGGACCTGGTTATATGTTTAGTCAATATACCAGGAAGAAAGAAATTCAAGGCTCCAATACTTAAGATAAAAAAAAAACATTAAAATGTGATGGCAACTCGTCGGAGTGACTATATGGGGACTTGAGTCTAAGTGCCTACAATGTGAAAATTCTTGCACAATATAGCTACTAAACGTAAATATTTAATTTACCGAAGTCCCCACAAAGCAATTACGCAAGTTTAGAAAACACGCTGTGTAAAAAATGCACGGAGCATTGTGAGGACTTGTGCAAGAACTTTCACATTGTGGGGACTTACTGCACACTCAGGTCCCCATAAAGTCATCCCTACGAGTTTTTATCACAGTGTTAAGATAAATGTCTGAGCATATTACCACAGGCTCGATTTTATATTTTTTGGAATATCTCGTTAAAATACGCGAAGTGTGTGACAGGTGAATGAAGGAATAAAATATTTCGGATGAAATGAATGAAAATGATCCCGCAAAATAATTGTGTAACGCAAATCTCTTATTGATAATTTGCCTCCAAAAACTCACGTTTCTTTAAACTTATTTATAATGTTGGTCTTAAGTTCATGCTTATATCCTTGAAGTTTCACCTCGAGGATTACGTTCCTCCCACATGAACAAAAATTTAGTAGAATTTTAGACATCATGTTAGTGCCACTTTGAAAACTTAACATAACATTTCAGTCTTCATAAGCAAAATTTCAGCACACGAAAAAATTTAACTTCATAATAATAATACAATCTTTACTTTATTTTTTCAAATGGTAGTGTTTTCGGTCATTCAATACAACAGGATAGCGAATGCTGGAACATAGAACCTACGTCTATTCGACTTCCCATCTGATATTGTGTTCTAAGTAGCAAAACTTTGCATGTATTAGAAATGAATCGCGAAACGGGTTTATCACGTTTAACTAGTCGTTTTCTCTCTTAATTGTCATGCAACTAGATTAGCCAAATCGTGATATTAGTTGGCTCATCTCGATATATTTGTAATATTATCCATTGTAAAAAATTATGACTAATCAAATATTTTCATTTTCATGTTTTTTCACTTTCGGTTTGGTTCAAACATTGAACATGCAGATCCATTCCATGAAAGTCGTAACAATAAAAATTTGTTGCCAGCATTTAATATTAACAACATACCACTTGTATTTTTGAAGAAGAACTCCGAATCATGTTGAAATTGGCCAGATCAAATGGTTTTCTTTCTTCTTAAAAACTAAAAAAAATGCACATGCATTATACAAATGTAAAGAGGAAAATTGCATGTGTTGTTTAGTTAAGCTTAAAAATGATATAAAGTCTTTACGAGTTTACTCAAAATGAATATTAAAAGCATTAAAGCACTCTTTGTTTGTGTATTATCGGGTTTCACATACACTCGTTCCCAAACAAGGAACTCGAAGTTCAATACTACACTCGGCTTCGCCTCGTGCAGTATTGAACCTCTCGTTCCTTGTTTGTGAACTCGTGCATGTAAAACGCGATAATGCACTCACAGAGTGCATTAATCCTCAAATATCATACCGTATCATATTGTATCATACCGTATCATACCATATCATACCATATCATATTGCATCATATAGTATCCTACTATATCATACCGTATCATACCGCATATCATATCGTATATTATATATATATCATATCGAATAATATAGCATCATATAGTATCATACTATATCATAATGCTTTATACTTTATCATACTGTATCATATCGTATCATATTATATGTCGTATAATATAGCATCATATAGTATCATACATATCATACCCTATCATACTGTATGATACTGTATCACATAATGGAAACTTTATTAAATGTTTTCTCATTTACATATATATACTCATGCAATTATAAATCTCGTTTAATAAGGTACTACTTGAATCACAACTAAATAATATGTTGTATATATAATAAACGACTTTAAATGACTATAACCTAAGTAAAGCATGCAAATTTTTGTACAAAGGTTTCAAAAAGGGGACGTCTAGCCTGAGCACCAGGCTTTATTTTTCGCATTTGACGTCAAGCTACAATGTTATGACCATTTTTTCAGTTTGAGTAACATTCGCAGAATACAATTATTGGGGGAAAGGGGGGAAATAAGTAATACTGGGCAGGGACAGTAAAGAACCTGGAGAAAATTATCCTTTTTGTTCATTGTAACGCCCTTGCATCGGTCCCTTGGCTTCTTTTGGTGTTTTCCCGTTCGGGAAAAAATAGACCATTTACATTATTTACGCAGTTGTAATCAACCGAGTTTACGTAACACACAACGTGGTCTAGGTTCAATTCTCTTACGTTTTACAGTCGGTATTCGGTATACTATCCTTCTATAGAGGGTGTATTCTTCCTTTAATTATCTGGACCGCTATATTTATGCTGGACCGCTATATTTATATATCAATCTCAAAAGCACTTGCAATGGTGAATATGCGGCAACTTACTTTTCCTTATTCTATTAATGTTAGTCTATATTCACATTTATCCATTATCCGATATCCGTTACACCATCCTCCTCCTTATGCTCTCGTCCCGAGGACATACTTTCAATCAAATCCGTACCTTAATAACGGATTAATGTTTTGTCTAAGTCTGGCAGCTCGAGCACGAGGAAATCCGTCAGTCTCTACTGTTTATCCGTCAATTCCGTTTTGTAGTGCAAAACGGTTTGCCCACTTTAACTGGTCGTGGTCATCACCTTCCCTCTGAAACAAAACGATAGTCCCAGCCCGTTTTAGGATTCTATAAGGCCCACCCATCTATCTCCGAACTTCCAGCCTTTCGGTCTTTTCAACATGATTGTTTCGCCCGATTCGAAAGGCCGCCAAGTAGTTGTCGTTTGATTGGGCTTTGCCAAACCATGCGTGTAATATCATAAAATGCTGACCTAACCGACTGTAAATATTCGCTCTGGTTGGATGGTGTTGTTAGCGGCCTAATTCAATTCAATTGGCAGCCTAGGTAATTGCCCAAAAACTACCTCGTATACGGAGACAAGCCTAGTGTGTCTACTAGTATAGTAAGTGAACGTGACTGAACGTGACTGAATCCAGTCACAAGTCCCAATCATCTCGCCAATTAGAAACAAAGGAGGAAAGCATAGCCTGAATTGTGCGATTTTGGCGCGTCCGTTACACTGAGGACGGTAGCTAGTAGTGCGCGTTTTCGTAGTACCCATAAAACCATATACTTCATGCATTATGATACAGTATGATATAGTATGATGCTATATTATATGATATGATATAATATTGTTATACGATACGATATGATACAGTATGATATAGTATGATGCTATATATGATATGACTATGATATAATATTATGTTACACGATACAATATGATACAGTATGATACAGTATGATATAGTATGATGCTATATGATAGAGTATGATACGGTATGATATAGTACGATACTATATGATGCAATATGATACGGTGTGATACGGTATGATACAATATGACAGGGTATGATATTGTATGATACTATATGATGCTATATTATACGATATGATATATATGATGCTATATGATACAGTATGAATAGTATGATGCTATATGATACAGTATGATACGGTATGATATTATATGATAATATATGATGCTATATGATACGATATGATATAGTATGTTGCTATATGATACAGTATGATACGGTATGATATTGTATGATACTATATGATGCTATATTATATGATATGATATAATATTATGCTGTATGATACAATATGATATAGCATGATGCTATATTATATGATATGATATAATATTATGTTATATGATACGATATGATACAGTATGATACGGTATGATACAATATGATACGGTATGATATTGTATGATACTATACGATGCTCTGCTATATTATACGATATGACATAATATGATGCTGTATGATACGATATGATACAGTATGATATAGTATGATGCTATATGATACAGTATGATACGGTATGATACAATATGATACAGTATGATATGGTATGATGCTATATGATACAGTATGATACGGTATGATATAGTATGATGCTATATGATACGATATGAAATATCCAATACTTAAAGTACAAAACATTAAAATGTGATGCCAACTCGCAGGAGTATATGGGGACTTCAGTCTAAGTCCCAACAATCTGAAAATTTGTGCACAATATACTACACATTAATGTAGAATTTAAATTCCCCACAAAGCAATTACGCAAGTTTAGTAAAAATGCACTTGCATTGTGAGGTGTTGTGCGAGAATTTTCAAATTGTGGGGACTTGTAGTCAGGTCCCGCTACTGATATAAAGATAATATATATATATATATATATATATATATATATATATATATATATATATATTATATATATATATATATATATATATATATATATATATATATATATATTTATATATATAGATAATACCATATTTCCTACTGATAAAAAAAGTCACCAAAAATGAAAAAGCATCCCATTTGGTAAAAATCCTACCCTGATCACCAGGGACATGTCGCAGCTCTCGGAAGCTTTCGTTCAATTGGATAATGCTTTTCTATGCTTTCTAAAGAATGAAAGTGTTACAAATTTAGAGCAAACTCAGTTTTATAACGATTATATATAATGATTTTATAACGAGATAACGATTTTAACTAAGTATGAAAACTCTCCTACCCTAATAAACATCCCGTTTTACTACAGATGCAAGCACGTTTTTACTATTGATGCAAGCATAATCTTAAGCCTGCAATACTATGATGACCTATGCAAAATATTAAAAATGTGTTGCCCACTTGTAGGAATGACTTTATGGGGATCTGAGCGTGTGAGAACACACAATGTGAGAATTCATGCACAAGTCCTCACAATGCTTTATACATTTTTTACACATTGCATGTACTAAACTTGTGTAATTTCATTGTGGGCACAATTTTGATCAAAGATATTGTTGTGTTAGCATAATATTTGCATGCATAATTTATCATCATGTATATAAGTACTGAACTCTTATTAAAGTCAAATTAGTAACTCAACATAGCGGCAGCGGTGGGATCACGTTCGAGGGCTTGTAAGTGAAGTAAAGAGTGGAAGAGCGATCGGTTGACGACTTAGATGCGCCACTAACAAAACTCAGGTCCCTTGGTGGCATTATAAATAGCCAGAATGGCATCTTTTCAAGTGCAATCGCGAGAAAAGTTCTCTTTCAACCCTGAAGATTGGTTGAAATGGAGATTTGAAGAAGGATTCAGAATGGCTCCTGGTCTCGAGAGAGAAAGCGAAGAAAGCCGGGTTAATACCCTGATTTATTCAATAGCGAGGCAGACGATATTGTACAATCGCTCGGTATTGCCGAAGGCGACCAAAAGAAATACGATGTAGTAAAAAAGAATTTAGAAAATTTCTTCATTATTAAGAGGAATGTAATCTTTGAGCGAGCTAAATTTAATTTGCGAAGCTAACATGAAGGAGAGACCGTTGACGTGTTTATTACAGACTTGTTCAATCTTGTAGAACATTGTAATTTCGATGTTTTACGCGAAGAACTGATCCGCGAACGTATTGTTGTAGGAATTCGTGATAAAGCGTTGGCTGGAAAAGCTACAGCTCAAAGCAGATTTAACTTTAGAAAATGCTGTGAACTTTGTTCGACAGAAAGAGACCGAAAGCAGCAAGGTTTCCTTCGAGGCGACGGTAAACAGCAAATCGACCATGTGGGCGTAAGCAAAATCAAGAAAGAATAAGGAGTTAAATGTCGGTGAGCAAGACAAAAGACACAAAAGAAAGGGAAAATGCAGTAGGTGCTTAGGGTCTATGCATCCGAAGAAAAGCTGTCCAGCAAACGAATCAAAATGTCATATGTGTTACAAGATTGGTCACTGGAAAAAAGCGTGCAAAAATACCGTAGTCAGTGAAGTCAAATATACGGGTGAGATCTAAAACGAAAAGTTGAGCTTCAATCAACTGATAAAGTACTATTAGGCCCTTGCAATTACCATCTCAATTGTTTGGGGGAATTTAATGCTAGGACAACCTCAAAGAATAATTTACCCTTGAGGAAATTTATGTCGTGAAAGATTTCAGTACACCGTTGTTAGGCAAATCAGCATGTCAATAATTGAATTTAATTGGGAAAATTAATGAGGTGGAAAATTCTAAACGACCAAAAGTAAGCGAATATAAGCAACAAATATTAGATCAATATCCCAAATTGTTTGAGGGCTTGGGAGAGCTTGAGGGGGGATATGATATAAAATTAAAAGAGTTGCCAGAACCCTTTGCTTTGAATGTGCCAAGAAAAGTACCGTTCCCCTTATTAGATAAAACAAAGAAAGAAATTGAGCGAATGTTGAAATTAGGCGTAATTTCAAAAGTAGACCAACCAACAGAATGGTGCGCCCCTATGGTAGTCATAACAAAACAAAATGGGCATGTTCGAATATGTGTTGATTTGACCAAATTAAATAGTGTGTTGAGAGAAGCGTATTCTCTCCCATCAATTGATTTCACATTACGAAATTATCAAAATGTAAGGTATTTTCAAAAATAAATGCAAATAGTGCTGTTTGGTAAAGAAAGCCTTCAGAATCCTCTTGTTTGCTAACTTCATTCACTACACCTTGGGGACGATTTTGTTTTAATAGATTGACGACTTATTGGTTAACCCCAAGAGCAGCATGACTCTAGGTTGCACTTAGTTTTACAGAGACTGCAGGAGTCAAAACTTACTTTAAACAAAGATAAATGTGCATTTAGTGTCCCCACTATTAAGGCATTAGGTCAAGTTATTTTATTTAATGGGATATCCCCAGATCCAGACAAAGTTAAAGCTATTTTGGATATTCCTGTACCTACAAATGAAGTCAGATCTTTTATGGGAATGGTGAATCAGTTTAATAAGTTTACAAATCATCTCGCGTCAAAATCAAAGCCACTCAGAGACTTGTTATGTAAAGATTTTGTTTTGTACTGGGGGATAAGCAAGATGAATTATTTAATGATCTAAGGAAATACATAATTTCTGCCCCAATTTTAGCTCTTTATGATCCAAGTAAGGAAACTAAAGCCGCGTTTACACAATGTGCTTTGATTTGGCCTAGGCCTAGATGTGAACGTTGTTTATCCGGCCTCGACCTGGTTTAGGCCACAAAATCCAGGCCAACACCTGGTCCAGAAGTGTTAACGCGGCTTACGATAAAAATTAATGCAAATGCATCGTCTTACGGTATAGGGGTGGTATAGTATTACAAAAACAAGAAAACAGTGAAGTGGAACGTGCACTACAGATGTAGAAACTAGATACAGTCAAATTGAAAAAGAATACTTTATCAAGTATATCGAGTGATTATATTTTAGTAAAATCATTCTTAGGCGAAACTGATCACAAATCATGACCCCCTTTCGACAGTGGTGAATACCTCCAGTTCGTAAATGATCGAGGATTTAAAGTTAATCATAGCAGTCCAAAGTATCCTCAGTCAAATGATTAAAAGACAAAAATATATAGTCAACTAAGAATAAAACATACCACAATAATGAACATCCAATATTACTACTAATACAAAAAATATCCCATCCTGCTTTTGATACAAAGATAATGTGAACAAGAAATAAAGGAAAAAAACCTTCGCAGTCAAAGCTTGAGAGTTGGAGATGTTGTGATCCTAAATGATGACAAGTCGACCCGTTTGTTTTGAAAGTTGGCGAAAGTGGAGGAGTTGATTACAAGTAATGACACCGCGTGGTCAGAGCAATAACCTAATAGTATTAGAGTTACCAATCGCACCCAAAGACCAAAGAAAGAGATCAAAGAGACTGAAAGTGCAGAAAAAAACGCATGCTGAAGTTCAAACAGGGGACAGAAGGAGGAGTGAAAGAGAATCCGCTATTATTGGGGACAATGAAGCCGAAACATTAACGTTGTATATCATGTTGTGTTAAAATTTTATCATTTATGCTCCTTAGATAATAACTCTTGGAAGTGTAAAAAACAGTCGTTTAAGTGGATTAGTGGGAACATTTTATTAGTGATAGCTACATGGTTGTCTCTCTGAACAACGTTTTAAGCACGTATGACTTTTGAAAAGCCATGTATTGCAGGGAACTTATCAAGGCCTTTTAATTTGCATATACAATATTCAGTGTAAATTTAGTCCAGCTATGCAAATTTTATTCATTATCATTATTATTTATTCATCAGTTAACAAACATCAAAATACTATCATATCAATCGTCAGACTGGCTACGCTACTGCATATTTTTGCTTGTATTCTTCTGGGTTTTTTACTTTCGTTCGCGTATATGGGGGGAATAAAAAAACGCAACACTAAATATTCATGAAAATCCGATTAACTGCTTTCTTTTTTATCACAAAGAAATTGAGTGTTCGTGGATATTTAGTGTTGCGTTTTTTTAGACTCTATTGCAATTCGTTGACAAGATATAATAAACTTACCACATGCATCGCAAAGTGGTGGTCTTTCACGTGTCAATGTACCGCAAAATGATTTCTCACACTTTCCACATGCACTAAAGGACAAAACATGGCAGGAAAAGAGGTTAGAAGAAAAAACTTATTATTCCATCATAAATATAGCAAATATTTGGCCTATGCCGTATTGAACCTAGAAAAGTGTCAATGAGACTATATATAAACTACATTAAACTTAGAAAAGTATCGAAACTCATGATAAACAGAGATATAGTGAACAAATCCCACTTCATAAACATCCCCTCTCGCTACTCAGACAAAAATAATCATTCATTATAATTCATGAGAATTATTAATGAAAGGCATCTCGCCCTGATGAGCATCCCTTCCCGGTAGTAATATAAAATTAGAGCCAACTTTCGGAGTATTATGGAGAGATAAAATCAACAAATCCCATCCTGATAAACATTATTAGTATACATTTCGTTTGTATTGTCGTTCCTGATTGGTCAGAATTAAAGCATCTGTTAATTCTCAATATTCTGTATTTAATTATTTTTTTGGATCGAATAATTTTTTTTTGGATTGAACTTCCATCCAAAGTCCAAACAAACATTTTTTAGACTCTCTCGTGCCCAGACCTTGGCTCGCCAGCAACTTGAACCCAAAGGGTGCGAAAATAAAATAAACATTAATAAAATAAAATAAAATAAAACAAGCAATAATAAACTTCGTTTGATCGTTTTATACGTACGCTTCTGAATTCTGATGTCTTTAAATGCATAATAAAACAATTATTAGATTCGGCGTTTGCATGATATCAAGAATTATTCAGATCAAGGTCAATGGTATCATTCAATAATTGTTTATTAGTATAGTAACTATAATTAGTCCATAAAGGTATTATAGCTATACTCACACAAAGATAAAGTCAACTATTAATGAAAAACGTTTCACCCGGATAAAAATCCTTTCCCGCTATTAATACAGATTTGAAGCCAACTAAAGGCTAATTTCCACTCCGGAAAACGAGCAGCGGATCGGATCAGATCGGAACGAAAGATAATCCGCGCGTGCGCCGTCTGTTGAAATTTTTGGCTTATATTG